TTGATCACAAGATCATCCTTAGGGGCATTTCGTCAGTTGTGGCCTATCCAGCAGTAACAGAATGTCATAAATGTAAATTGGGACATAACAAATACACTAAACAAAGACAAACAAACACTTTAAGATTTAAAATTGGAGAAGCTACATTTTATATAGAAGCCGGAGACAGAATCTATGAATAGATGTCATTCTGTCTCCCGCTTCTATATAAAATGTAGCTTCTCCAATTTTAAATCTTAAAGTGTTTGTTTGTCTTTGTTTAGTGTATTTGTTATGTCCCAATTTACATTTATGACATTCTGTTACTGCTGGATAGGCCACAACTGACGAAATGCCCCTGAGGATGATCTTGTGATCGAAAGTACTTGGGCAAGATTTGATTAAATACTGTGTTCGATATTTGCCTTGTGTACCATCAAAGTTTTTCATATTCATTATTAGGCCAACGTATTGGGAGCTGGCTGCTATTTTTCCCAACATAATTTGCAGTTCCTCGAATGTGCTCGCTATAATCACTATGTCGTCAGCGAATCTGAGGTGGTTTAACTTGTTGCCATTAACGTTAATGCCATAGGTTGGCCAATTTCTAGTTTTGAAGACGTCTTCTAGGGCTAGGTTGAAAAGCTTTGGCGATATTACGTCTCCTTGTCTCACTCCTAGTACATCATACCATCTGTTGACAATGTGAACATTGATAGAGAAGGCAAATAAATACCAACTACCCATATTTCTTGCCTTCGTCGACTATGAAAAGGCGTTTAATAGTATTGAGATGTGGGCCATAGAACAAGCTATTAATAATTGTAGAATAGATTCGAGATATAGTCAACTAATATATAATATACAGAGTGGCCCAAAAGTCTGGAAACGGCCAATTATATCGTAAATTGCTAGTTATAATTGTACAAAATTTGAAGTACACCTATTTTGGGATACGGAGATTCCATATTTGATATTTGCAATGTTGCCAGATTTTCCGTTTATCTTATATTATTAGTAACTTTGGTTTTTTAAATGCATCACCCTGTATATTTAGTCATTATTGGAATCTCCTATTTAATACGATCTATTCAATATGAGTTCAACCATATGTAACACTTATGATTTTATGTAGTCTGAAAGGTCTTAAATACATATAACACAAGTCTGGCAACGCCTAATGGTTTCAATAAATTTTTTAATACTAATTATTTTCAACTACCTTAAAACTAAACAATTGATAGATTAGAACATTTTTAACAATAGTTACGTTATTAAGTGTTTAAAATGCGCTCAATTTATGAGTTGACAGTACCCTAATCGATGGTAGAATGCGTCTATCACATTTCTCCATGATGGTCTAGAAACAATTCGAGATTCATCGATAATTCGTTGCCTTAGCTCTGCAAGACTTGCTGGTTAAGCTTTGTAAACTGAATTTTTCAAGTATCCTAATAAAAATAATCTGTATGATTGAAATCAGGTGAACGTGAAGGCCATTCAATTTTACCTTGTCTACCAATTTATCGTCCGGGAAATATCTCATCTAAATAACGCCCCGAACATTTACACCAACTATCTGACGTTAAATTTTTTTCGATAAAAAATGTGCCAATTGACTGAGTACCTACTATACCTGACGATACATTTAATTTTTCATGCTTAACTTTTCATTCAGCTGCTTGTGGCCACCGGTGGTACAGGTTACCTTTCTATTTCTTAACTCTCTAAATCCTTGTAGATGTTGTTTATATTGCGTACACACTTAAAGTATAGTTTTAAATATATGGGTTTGCCACCGTTTTGGCATATATTTTTAAGTGATCACAAATAAAGTCCAAAAAACTGCAGTAAAAATGATTTGTTTATAATTAAAACATCGAAGTATAACATAGATATTGTACAAAACTTAAGAGATAATTTAAACATTATATAAACCAAGGTGGGTTTGTGAATTTCATTAAAGCAAGGAAGGCCTATAGTTGATCTGTCCTCACATATATCGCAGTATGTACACACTCTTTTTGTTTTTGTTCAAGCTGCTTTTGATCTTTGTGTATCCTGAATTTTCTTATAACATGAAAAGCAGCGTGTTCTTGTTTATCTAACACTACCTTCATATTTTTGTAACTTATGCTTTACCAAAAAGAATTTTGGTTTGTTTCTCTGGAACAATATCTGGTTCACGGGGATTTTCTGTAACTTAACTTTGCAATAGTCCTTCAATAATTTTTTTCGCGAATAGATAACATAATGCATGTTTTAGGATTATTACCATAATTATTGAAAAGAACCCACGTATTTACTATGCATGTGCCAAGACAAACTTCGAAAAACACTTTCTTATACCGCTTAATGCTTTTTTTTAATAAAGTATAATATAAAAACATTTGATCAAACAAGTCCACAACTTTCTTTGCCTTATTACACGCAATAATCTCTGGTGGTTTTAGAAGGTCTTCACCTTGCCTATTCTTTTTCCCTGTCGGTTGGAGATTTAGTGTATGGCTGGGAACTGTCATAATCATTCATACAGGACGTTTGTCCATCCATTTGGCAACTTTGTTTAATTAAAAAGATATATTATGATGCATTTTGAGAAACCCAGTTTTTAATACTATATTTATTTTATACAGAAACTGAAAAAATATAATTAAAAAACTAATTATTAATAATTGACAATCTCTAATGTATTTAACAATATCAAACTGTCATATTAAACATGTCATATGTTTAACCTGAAAATTGGGAGGTCCAAAACTGTCAGATGAAGGCGGTATGTGTAGCGTTAGTCACGCACGGAGCGAATAGGGAAATAAAAATATCGGTATCGAAATGAAAGGCGGGATTTACAAAACAGTCATCAGACCAATAATGACATACGCGAGAGAATTTAATTTTAATTTTTAAACCTGTCTTAATGGTATGTTTAACCAGTTTATCTATGTCAGACTTTTTATTTATACAAGACGTATTTATGAAATACATTTCCAAGAAAACACGTTTTTCGTGGCTTTTTTTTGCCAGAATACGGGAATCTTCGAAATTAAACTCATGTTTCAAAGCTAATGCATGTTCTTTAAGTGCACATGCATTTATTTTTTTGGTTTTGATGTCAGTACGATGTGAGATTACCCTACTGTGACATTCTAAAATTGTGACATGACTAAACAACATTCGATGACACCTGTTTTGTGAAATTACCATTTTATTTGTCAAAAACATTTTTGAAAATGTTTATTAAGCTCAGCTTTGCGACCAGTTCAGTTTAAAACAGATTGGTTGTAAGTTCAAAAAGGAAGACAATAGAGAGGCTTTGTGTGAAAGAGATATATTATAGTACATGCAGGTGGAAAACATGGTTTTATTGAGGGAGCAGATATTGTGTCTTCATCAAAATCAAAATCAGTTCATCAAATCATCAAATTCACATGAACCATCCTGTATAGTTTTGGATAATGCTGTGTAACATTCGGAAATTTTAAATAAGCAACCAACTAACACCTGGACCATAGATAAAATAAAAGAATGGTTAAGAAATAAAAATATTACATTTCCTCAATACTGTTTTAAGCCTAAATTACTAACGTTAGCTAAAAGTCATGCACAACCAAACATATTATATAGTAGACGAAATTATACATAACTTTGGACATCGTGTGTTAAGACTACCGCCCTATAATTGCCAATGCAATCCAATTGAATGTATTTGAGGGATAGGCAAAACATATTATGATAACCATATTGGATACAAGGGTTACAGTTACAGGGCAGTCTTGGAAACATGGAAACAAGCATTGGATGTAAAAAAGGTGTAAAAAAATGTGAAGACTTCGAAGACTGTGAAGATTCATTAAAGAATGGTGGATCCGTTCAAGGTCACATCGAAGCAGTTAATCCTGTTATAATTTACCATACGAATGAGGATAGCGACTACAATGATTATGGCTGTGAATCTGATGATTGTTGATAATTTTTGAAGATTAGGAGAATAATGGGATAAGTAAGTTTTTTTTTTGTTTTTTTTTTAATACAAATTGAATACTCCACTAAATAAAGTACACTATTTAATAACTTAAGTATTGTTATACATCGTTTAAAGTAGTTAATTCAAAAACTAACTTGTTTACAATACTAAACTCAATGATAGTAATTATATACTTCAAAATCTCAATTACAACTATTCTATAAACTATCAGCCCTATATTTATATCTTGACTTTATATTTAAATCTAAGGTTTATATCTGTCATAACAGTATTTTAAAAATGAGGAGAATGTACTATTGTACAATTCAGCACATTGGACCATTTAAATCGATACCTTAAACCGAATTTAAAACAGTCGTATATTTGTAAAATGGAGAATATCACCTTACATTCCCAAAATAAACTTAATAGTTTAATATCATTTCATAATTTTGAATTTTAGGATTTTTTGAAAACAATTTCCGGATTTTAAATCGAATCGTCAAAACAAAGTAATAAAATGTAATTTTTATTACACTTGATTGTTGTTTAATCTCCCCTAAAAAAAATCTGTGTTAAATATGGGTTAAATATGCCACAACAAAACAGTTTCAGAATCTGTTTAACAATGTATAAACACAAAATATTAAGTCCGAATGGATTTGCGATCTTGGTAAATACTACTACTTGGTTAAAGAAATTCCAATTACGTCACGAGATCCCAAAAGAAGTACATATTTTATACAACGTAAATTCTGCAGGTATAAATATGTTGCGTATGATGTATCAGTTGGAAGTGGAACCCAGAACCGTTGGTTTACCTTGAACGTACCACAGTCGGATTCAGTCTCCAATCTATATTTAAAAATAAATTATCTTACAATAGAAACGTTCATTCTGAATTTTTATTTTACACATTCACTTGTATCTGTTCATCGCGTAATCGCGGTTAGTTGTATCTTTGATTTATAAAAAGATATTACGTTTCGGTTATATTGGTTTGCCTAGTTTGTTTATTTATTTAGGAGTGTTACTAACGTAAAAGTAAATAATACATAGTGAACATTAGTATCAGATTAATAATAAAAGTTACTAGAATGAATGAAACAGGCCCTTTAAATATTTCTACACCATCTGCAACTTCTGTAACCAATGAAGCTTGGGTTATAGTTCCCAGTGCTCCTATTTTACCGATCAGCGATCCCGTGGTACAACAACCAACATGGTCATCTCCATCGATGGAAATTCAAAAAGTACTCTACAACCAAAACGAACAGGAAAATTTACTTGCTTCAGGTACTCAATCAGAGAATATAACACATCCGCTAAATAACGGAAAACCTATGACACCAGTGATAGAAGAGGGTTCTGAAAGTGTTTGTCTAGACCAATGTTTGGTAAATTGCATAGGTGCATGTTTTGATAGTTGTTGTGATATGTGTATAGACAATTGTTGTGATAATTGCCTTAATAGTTGTTGTGATAATTGTTGTGATAATTGTTGTGATGATTGATATCGGTAAAACTTTTTGAATAAGTCCAAGTTAGTTTCTTAGGTATATGTTAAAGACATTTTTCAAAGATAAGATTTTGTATTTTATTTATACTGGATATACAATAATTATTTATAAAATTTATTTTATGAAATAACTTAATATATTTATGTACGTCAAAAACAATATTAAATTATTAAATAACCTAATTTAAACATATAAAATTTAAGAAGATATTTTTTCGTTGATAATAATTATGTTCTAAGGTTTGTATTCTGCATAATATCCTTACATAATACTATTGACTAAGGCTTATAAGTTGTTTTATTTTACGTTTTCTGCAAATCTTTTGCAATATATGTCCTTAAATAGATTTTTAATAGAATAATCTGTTAGTAAGGACATGTTATCAACTTTTAATCTCTTTATATATAATAATACGATAGATAGTGATAGATGAAGAAATTTATTATATTATAATATAACAGATTTAATATATATTTTAAACTTGAAATCAAGGTAATGAAAAACTAATCATCTAAGAGTACCTTAATTTAAAACATAAAATCATACAGATATTTATTTATTAATATTATCTTATTTTTATAAGAGAAATGTTTGCCCGTCGCATGCTACGGGGGCCCAATCAATTATTATGCTATGTCGCATGTTAGGATTTGAACAGTTGTTTACTTTGTTGTCAATCTGCAGCTTTCTGTAAGTCAATAAATCAAAATTCAAAAAAAAAAAATATTAATATTAATTAATAATGAAGATAATAGAAGGTGTAATTTTATTTTTATACTTAGTAAGTCTTTGATCTTACCTTTCATTCAGAATTCTTTGTTCAGATGACGTTAGGACTCTAATACTAAATAACATAAAGCTTTAAATTATTTTGTAATAAATTCTACCATAAAAATATAATTCAAATTAATTATTTAAGGGGTATAGAAGCAAAATCCGCCAAGTCACATCTATCAATTTTCAGAAACGTGAAAAACTATTACAGAGGACTTCTGTGATATTTTTATTTTTCTGTTTGATTTAAATGTATTCTAGTATAATGTTTTATTAGAAGAATACAAAATAAAAAATATTTGAGGTGCACTTTCGGTATAAAATTGGTTTTATTTATGGACATGGCGGGATTTGCAACAAAATTTAGCAACTTTGGATTTGAAATTTTAGAAAAATTCGGAAAAACATGTGTTTTTAAACTTTACTTGATAAATAATTATAAACATCAGATTCTTATTACTAAAAATAGATTTGTTTGTTTATATTTATATAATTATTGGTATAAATTGAAAATAACGTAGGCTCATAAAAATGAACTTTTTTATCACAACAAATTTTATATCCCAGTTGTTTCTTCTAGAGAAAATGCTTCACATAACTCATTTGTCAATAGTTATGGATTACTCTCATCATTATTAAGAGAAAAATGTATGGCATCTTTATAAAACTTCAAATCGGAATGTTCTGGCCAATCAGTCCCATAATGCGTTTCTAATAGTTTGGCAACACTCTGGGCCTTCTTTTTGTCACTTACTCTGCCAGCTTCAAATTTGTCAAGATTAATCAAACAAATATGTTTTCCTTTCTTACAAATGCCCTTTGGGACACCGATGGAAGTATTATAGGTGACTTCGCCCTGAACTTTAATTGTATTATCGCTTTGCTTCAAAATCCTAAAGCCTTTGCACTATTGAACTTGAAAGTGCCAAGCTCCTGGTGGTTTAATAACTTATAATACTGAGGTTTTCCAATCAAACGCATCCCAGTCTTCACCCATTTATATATTGTAGCATTTTGCTCTATTATAGCTATGTAGTTCTCTGGATTCGTTATTATTTCGTTTTTATTTTTAATTTTGCCTTTAAAAATACAAAAAAGTCTATCTGGTGGCATAAAACTGTGTTCTACAACTGGGAATATTATTTCAATACAGCGAATATTATTAGGTGCCTTTTTATGAAGAAAACTTGCAAGCATGCCGATCATTGTAATATCTTTATTTTGACCTGGACAGCCATCTGCACAAATCAATTTCTTTAACATCTCTAGAAAATTTGTGTTTTGATAATCTATGAAACAACGCTGAAGCTATAACACTTGAGTTTTTTGGCAAATCTAAATCGGTCCATAGATAAGCTGAAGTTTCATATTAGAAGTACCATTTCTTCTTCTTCGAGTACCATGGAATTATCCGACATTGGCGATCACCATTGCGAAGGCTTCTCGATCTTCTGCAATATGGAATAATTGTCCTGCATTTGGTATCTGTGTCCATTCACGAATGGTTTTTAACCAAGAAACTTGTTTTCTTCCTACACCTATACGGCCCTCCATTTTGCGTTTAAGGATTAGTTGAAATGTTTTATATCGACTTTCCCTTACTATATGTCCCAGATAAGACATTTTTCGATGTTTAACAGTTTTTAGCAGTTCTCTTTCTTTGTTGAAGAAGTACCATTTACATTTGAAAAATTGTAAAGATTATAAAGCACGTGGTGTTCGTGTGTATTAAGCTATAAAAAAAGCGCTTATTAAAAGCTTAAAATGTTATATTATAAAGAAGATCTTTTCGGAATTGTATCATTCCATCATCAGTTTACTAAAAGAGAGAGTAAAAATACCAATATTAAAAACAAGAATGTTAAAATTTAAATATACAAAAAGAACAAGTTGGTTTTTTACTACTTACATAAAAAGTTGTTAAAAAAACATTGTGTGGCCACATAAAAAACATTCGATGGACATCTGGATTTAAAAAATAATCTTCATGTTATTTATTCAGGTAAATGCAATAGACTCTTAAATTGTGTAATAATAAAAAATGAAACTGGGGGCATCTTATATGACCCCCTGTAGTTGGTGAGGTTTTATCGACTTACATTACCTCTGATCTGTTTTGGAGTCTAGGGCTAACTGATAGAAAGATGGTATGAAAAATCAGTTATTACCCGTCAATGTCAAGTGGAATGATGTGGTAGGACCAAAGTCATTGTGCTTAAGTTTGTGAGTAGGCAGTTTTTAGTGAAGAAATGTGTTTTGTGTGTAGTAGGATCATTAGCAATTTTTGGTATTTTAAAAACAGATGGGAGAATATAAATCAATGAGTGACTGCGATGTAAAAGAAATTGATATACCAAGGTAGGGAAAATTGTTTCGTTGTATGAAATGAGTATATATAAAAGTTGGATTGTAATTTATGGAAGATGAGTCGAGGAAAAGAAAAAGAAAAAAGAAATAAAAGAGAAAGCAAGAAAAGGAAATAGAAGGTGAATGTAACGATGTAAGCTGGGGATATTGGAACTGATTGTGATAAGAGATTGATAGATGTAAAATGAATATTTATAAGAAAATGTGTATGATAAGTGAGATGGTAGTTATTGGAGAGGATGGGTAGTTGGATATTGGCAAAGGGGTGATGTTAGTGTATTAATGGTGACAAGTATAGAGTTAAGTATGAATGATTATGTAAGTTGATATTTAGCTATGGGAAATAGAAAGACATGTAGAAGTGAAGTAAAACTGGATGTGTAGTTAAAAGAAAGAAAGTTAGATTAGGAGAATAATTGTCGATGAAGTGGGACGAAGTCTCTGTTGATGCTGGTGTGACGATTAAGACAATTGGGACTATTTTTCTTTTCCTTGACTATTTCCAAATCCTGAAAAAGGTCAAGTTTGAGATAATCTCTACCTGGGATGTTATGAAGAAGAGAGATATCATCTGGTACCTTGATTGTGTGATTGAGATATTTAAGATGATGTGAAAAAGAAGTGTTCTTTAACTTAGAATGTTCAATGGCCCTGGTTACTAGAGATCTACAAGTTCTACCAATGTAAGTGGCATCACAGTCAGAACACCGAAGTTTATAAACCCCACTGCGTTTGCTGAAGTCAATAGGGTCACTACTAGTGCATAATGATCTACTCAATTTATTGTTGACTTTAAAAAAAAATCTTAATATTTTCAACAGAATTCAGGATAGTGTGTTTTATTGATTCAGAGAGTGTTGGACAGTGAAATGGTAATGAGAAATAAGATGGGGAATCTAAAGTAATGTTAGGGTAAGCTGATTGTTGAAGCAATTTATGTTTCTTTTTATAAATGAGTTTATGGATGATATCAGGGTTGTAGCCATTGTTGAAAGCAATCTGTTTGATTATGTTTAGTTCTTGGTTGTAGTTAACTTTGGATAATGAGATGGTTTCTAAACGATGAATAAAACTGTTGAATGCAGATAATTTATGTGAAATGGGATGGTTAGAATTGAAATGTATGACATGATCTGTTTGTGTGGATTTTCTGTAGATGCTATAATCAAAGACATTATTGGTTCTATTGATGGAAAGGTCCAAGAAATTGATGGAGAATTTTGATTCTAATTTCATAGTGAATTTAATATTGGGGTTAATATTATTGATAGTATTTAGTAAGGAAGAAGCTGTATTTGAATTACCTCTAATAAACACTAAGCAATCATCAACGTAACGGAACCAGTGTAGAATTGTATTGTTAGTCATAATTTGAGTGGATTCTAGATGATTCATGAAGAGGTCAGCTAAGAAGGGGAAAGACAACTTCCCATGGCTAAGCCATCAGATTGTTTACAAAAAAATGTTATTGAAAGAAAAATAATCTTGTGATAAACACAAGGAAAGTGTATCTATTATTGGTGTGATGACTGAAGGATTAATTGATTTAGATGTAAGAAGGTTGTGGACTAACTGAATAGTTTCAAGTTTAGGAACAGAAGTAAAGAGATTGCTAACGTCAAATGAAAGCATAGTCATATCTGGAAGGAGATTTATATGATTGAGATTAGATATTAGTTCGGATGAATTTTTGATGGAAAAAGTGGGAGAAAAACCTGTTATGTCCTTGATTACCCTGAGTATGAATTTAGAAATTATGGAGACCGGGGTGTTGATGAAACTGACTACTGGACGGATTGGAATGCCCTCTTTGTGGATTTTTGGAAGACCATACAATCTAGGAAGTAATGGATTACTAGGGATTTTGTAATATGGTGCATAAAAATCAGTGAAAAAAGTAGAATATTTCTTTAAAAAGGCTTTTTGTTTGTTAATGAATCTGTTCAGTGGGTCATGTGGAAGTACTATGAAGCCATTGTTATTCAAAAAAGTGGAAACTTTGTTGATGTAT